AAGAAACTAGTTTCTGCCAGCTATGGTGGCTCACGCTTATAATTCCAGCACTTTGGGAGGCCGAGGTGAGAGGATTGCCTGAGGTCACAAATTCGACGCCAGCCTGGGCAACTTGGTAAGACCTCATCTCTACAATGAATTGAAAAATTAGCCAGGCATGGTGGCACGTGACTGTAGTTCCAGTTACTTGGTAGGCTGAGGCGGAAGGATCTCCTGAGCCCAGCTGGTTGTGGCTGTGGTGGCTGTGAGCGTGCCACTGCACTCCAGCCTGGGCAACAGAGTAAGACTCCAACTCAAAATAAAAAATAAACCAAATAAAAAAAATAAAAACAAGAAACTAGTTTTTTAATAGAAAGAGATTACAGCAAAATGCTTTGGAGAATCCTCAAGAATTGACCGTATCTTGGACAACAAGGGGCATCCGAACTTAGTGAGTTAATGCATAAAGCCTGATGCAACACTCTTTATCCCAGTGACAGCAAGAACATTCAATTTTATATTTGTGCCAATAACAAAAACTAGAATTAACAATGTAGATGAGCATGATGAAAGAAAAGCAGTGTCAGTCACGCATTTTCAAAGTAAATATTGAGGTCATTATATGATCAGCCTTCTTTAGTCACAACTGTCCTATATAGTAAGTTAGCTGGCTATAGGACAAGACTTGAGGACCATAAATCAAATGCATGCAAGACAGTTTATACAGCCTTTAAACCAGTTGGGTACAAGAAGTGTACTTTGTTCACTCTAAGATACCCCACACACTTAACTGGCACATACTAGTTTCCAGTCCTTGAAAAGACTACCCCAAAATAATTAACTTCTACTTTCAAAACACATTAGCTAAAATATTAATTCACAAATAAGCTCCAACCTAGGAGAGTAAAGCGAAATTTAATTTAAATGTGAAGTGGGAGGAGAGAGAGCTTATATCAGATAGCAAAAACTAAAACCACATTCATTAACAAATAGTAACTGAAATGATTCAAGAAAAAGCTTGAAGCTGGGTTAATTTTCGCCACTTTGGGAGGCCAAATCACTTGAGGCTAGGAACTCGAAACCAGTCCGGGCAACTTAAGGACACTGCATCTCTACAAAACTTAAAAAATAATAAACTGAGCATGCTGGCATGAGTCTGTAGTCCTAGCTACTAGGGCAGCTGAAGCAGAGGAATGCTTGAGCCTAGCAGTTCAAGGTTACAGTGAGCTATGATCCTGCCATGGCACTCCAGTCTGAGTGGCAGAGTGAGACCCTGAGTGAGTATGAGAGAGCGAGCAAACGCGCTTGCTGCCACACTATCTAATTTCAACCTCAGTCTTACTAGCTGTGACCAGACAAATAACCTCTCTGTGCCTGTTTGCCATTAAATTCTGATCTGTCTCACAAGGTTGTCTTGAGGATAAAACCAGTCAGAAGTGTCTGGTACACAGCAGAGACTGTAATGTCTTAACTATTGTTAGTAGCAGGCAATTAACACATACAAAAGAAAACATGCTTGAATGACAAAAGAAAGGATATGCAAAAGTGTAGTGGTTAAGAGTACACAGTATGGAGCCAGGCTGCCTAGTTTCTAATCCCAATGTCACAACATGAACTTGAGCCTTCTTTTAACCTCTCCGTGCCTTAGTCTTTTAACTTCAAAATAAAGAAAATCATACCTACTTCCTAGGTTTGTTATGAGATTAAATGATTAATACAAGTGCTTACTTGTAACAGTTCTGGCACATCACAAACACTGAAAACATGAGTTATTTTTTAAGGCTTGGTTCACATTAGATATTAGGTAAAATTCTCTTCAAATGTCCCCAAAGCACATGTACTGTGGCCACTTCGTTTAACAAGAGTGGCAAAATTGTCTAAATTTGACTTCAACACTAATCAACTTAGAGGGCCACTTATTTTGACTCCTACTGTTTAATATAAGCCCTATTTAAGACCACACTACAAACTTGTTCAAATAAGGAATACAATAAAAAACTAACAGTAAAGTTATTTGATTAGTCTTAAGAAACTGTCAACCAAAAAACAAATTATAAGAACATAAGCTGCTAGGCATAGCGGCTCATGAACTTTGGGAGGTAGAGGCAGGAGGACTGCCTGAGCCCAGGGGTTGATGCTAGCCGGTGAAACTTGGAGAGGCCTCGTGAGTCAGGTGTGTAGTTCCAGCTACTTGGAAGGCTGAGACGGAAGGACTGCCTGAGCCCAGCAGGTCAAGGCTAAGGTGGCTGTGACTGTGCCACTGCACTCCAGCCTGGGCAAGAGAGATCCCCTCCTCCCCAAAAATGCTGAGGAAAATAAGACATAAATTCAAAAGCTTGATCAAAAGAACTACAAAAGATTAGGAGCATTCCAACAAGCATTTCAATAAAATATTAGTGAGGAATAGACTTAATATTCATATTCAAAATTGGAGGGCTTCAGACAAAAATAATTTCAAAATAAATAGGTAAATGACACAAAAATACCATACTGGCCTCAGTGGTTACTTGACCACACTTCTAGAGTAGAACTGATTAAAACAAAGAGCATTTCCCCTTCAGAGGTGTCCACTCAATAACACTGTTTGGATCTGGGATGTTATTAAAAAGCTGCCTCACGTGATTCTAACAGCAACAGCTGAAAACCAAATCACATGCACACGTCAAAATTTCTGTACGTTGAATCAGTAGTGTCTCGCATAAACTGATTTTTCCAACATGGAAAAATCTGTGCATCATGTCTCTGTATGTAACTCTTCAAAATATTTACAGCAGGAGATAATCTGGAATTAACCACGAATACTAGACCAGAAGTCAAAGTTCTTTAGTAAAAAAAGTTTTTGAGAATTATAAATTGTGGTATTAAAATAGTAGTAATAACTATGAGTGTACTGTGCCAAGGGCCTGCTTAAGGCCACATATTAATCCATTCAACCTTCAAAACAAAATTGAGAACTTAAAACTTGTTGTTTACTGTGGCCACCCCAACATCTAGAACAGTGCCTGGTACATGTTAGGTACGCAATCATTTATTATTGATATTTAACAAACACCCATCTTATAGAGACACACAGATAAACTTGCCCAGAGCTAGAATTCTAACAGGAACATTCTGATGCAATGTTCACACTTTTAACCATTATGCTATATTGCCTTTCTAGAGCTTTTAAATCATTAAAGTGGTGTCACAGCAGCTGGGTATCACCTGTAAAAGAAAAGAAATCAATGAGACCTTCCTTTATAAATGTTCTGTTCCACATGAACAAAAAGCTATGGATTTGGAATTATTCCACTACTTAGTGAAGAAACTAATTCCCATAGAAAAGGTTTTGATTTGTACTAAATATTATGCTCTTGGTATTAAATACACTGTAAAATACGACTATGCTTCTCCAATGTGTTGCTAGTCCTTAAGGTGTTCATGGAAAGGGGTTATTTTGAAAACAATCCTTTTTACTTTTAACTCTTAACTCCTACAAAGTTTTTCTTCCTCTTCATTTCACAAAGGCAAGGGATTTAAATTTGTATTTCGCATAACCCACAAATGATGATGCAATGATGATCTAAACAAAATTCAAGACTTCAGCATCCATATATTAAACTTCAGCATCAATATATTAAACCTTCATCTTTCACAAAGTATCAGTTTCGCCAAATAAACTCGAGTCATAATTAAGTACATGCAGATTAAGCAGCATCAGGTCTATTCTGGTAAAGGCAAGTTCTTGCCATTCTTCCCATAGTGGAATCCTTAAAAAAGTAACCTATCAAAACCAAAGTTTCTAAACTACCACCCCCCTGCCATTTTTCTAGTAAGGCTGAATTTACTCCATGACATTTTTTCAAGCTAGCTGTAAATACTCCACCCTCCTCGATTGTGCAAGAACCAAATACACCACACAAACACCAGTCACAAAAAAGGAAATACAGACTGAGAGTTTGGATTTAGGTAAGTCTTGAGAAGGGGGGTCTTAGAGCAGTGCAATCTGATGTAAAAGTTAACATTTAACAAAGAATATCTTTTCAAATTATTACGAAAGGAGATGCCGGAAAGAGCCTAAACCAGTTAAAGCAGCCGCCATCTTAAAATGCGGGATAGAAGTTAAGAGCAAGAAAATGAGACTAAACCACTGGAGGTGGAGGTTCCGTTCACTCCCAGAGCTCCGAAAAAATCTTAGCTTTTCAAATTAAATCGATAGTTTACTATCAAGCCACATTTTCCGTAGTGAAACAATCTTCCCCAAGAGTATTACTAAATAGGACGAAGCACAAATAGGTACTTCTAGCTTTCCCTTACTGCCATCTCAACCCTCACTTCCCCCCTCCCTAGCGGGAAAAAAAGGGAGCTTCCAGAACGCTTTTACATCAGTTCCCAGTGTGCCTCGGAAAAACAGCTTCGGGTGAAAAGCTCAGCTACAAGACATAGGAAGTGGCAACCTTGGGTCACTCCATCTCCTCCCAACCGCACTTATTCTCGTCTAACCTGCCTGGAGTCGTCGAAGTTGCCGACTAGGCTAATTTCCAGTCCTTCAGCAGCCAAGGAGACTTCCATCCCGACCCCCAGTCAACTTCGCGAACCGACAGATTTCTTCTCTCTTCTCCGAGTTTCCTTTCTTTCCCCCACAAGGCCAAGAGCCTTGATCTCATAACTAAAATAAGTTTTCAAGCACCACGAGCAGGAAGCGCCATGACATCTGCTGGACCGTCTCTCCGCAATTCCGACCCGATAGGGAACTCTTCTTTAAGCAGCAGACCGAGGCGCCCCAAGTCACTCTTCCCCATCCCACACTTGCGCCGATTCCACCGATACACACTCAAGATGCCTCACTTGCCAGAAGTGTTCTCGGTTCCCCAGCTTTACACCTCATTTACTCATATACTCGCGTTCTCCATCCTCCAAGGGAACGAACGACCCAAGAGGTATTTCCAAAATTACACTTCCCTGTCACCCCCACGCTTTCCTCCAGGCCTGAGCCTTTCTTTCCTCCCACATCCCCATTCCCTCCAGTCCCCACGGGTTACCTTATTAATCCGTTTCAGCGCCATAGTCTGTGCTTTTCGTCTGGCTCCTCACTATCTCGGTGTGTGCTCAAAGGTCCGGCCCAAACTCCTGATTATCCGGGTGGCGGGGAAGGATTGTCTCGTCTCACAGCGGCTCTGCCAGATATAGGCGCCTTTCGCAAAAACGGACTAGATCAGCACTCGCGCCAGCCCCGGAGAGACCCTGACGAGTCCAGGTCCCTAAACACGGTCGCGGTCCGGAGTGGGTGGGGTGGCGCGGCACAGCCACTCGCCGCCGCCTCTAGGCCCCGCTCTCGGCCCAGAGTGAAGGCGAAGGCGAGGGCGAGGGGAAGAGCCGAGGGGCGGCTACAACTTTAACTCCCCGGCCTCGCGAAAGGAAGAGACCCGAGTGGGAGAGGAAGAGGCGTCGGAGAAAGGGGTGGGTGCGGGGCAGGGTCCGGAGCCCAGCAGAGGAGGAGCCGGGGCCTAGTCGGCGCTATGCCGGCGTCACTAGGGCAAAGAAAGGCAAGGGGGAGGGGGCGGCGGGAGGCTCGAGCCCGATACCGGGCTTCTTTCGGTTTCAGCTCAAAGGTGCGGCCGAGGAAGCGAAGGAAATAAAGGAAGACGGGCTTGCAGTGTGAGGCCGTCCCCGCAACCGGAGCTATTCTATGTCGCCCCTGACGCCACCGTACACTCCGCCTTCCAGCGCGCTCTCGGGCGCGCGCCCGCCCAGCCACCACCACGCGCCCGTGCTGCCCCCGAGGCTCCGGCTCCCGCACGAGGACGCGCCCATTCCCCCTCCTCCTCAGCAGAAGGGGCCGCGGCTCCTCCAGCCTTCCCACCCTACCCCACCCAGCCAAAGGCTGGAAGCTCAAGCCACCCGGGGCCCGTATCTCCCCTCTTACCCGGCCAGCCACTGGGCCGGCCTTCCTTCCCTTCCCCTAGCCGTCCACACCCACGCGTACAGAGGGGCCGGGGCCTCCCTCAAGCTGCGGCCTCGGCCTCCTCCCCGCGCGGCAGCTGGTGCCTCCCCGGCCCTACGGGGCTCACGCGCACGACACAGCCACAAGATGTCCGCTCTGACGGAACTACTGCCAGCTGCCACGCTCCGCCCCTCCCCCCCCTCCTGCCTCTTCACCGCCGCGTATCAGTCCGCCAACGCCGCCGTCGCGAGCACAGGACGAATCTGAGGGTGAAGGCAGGCGGTTGGCTTCCCACGTCCAGGGCTGAGCGACTCTCAGTCTGCCAACCCCTCTTCCTTCTCCTTTTCGGAACAGCGCCTTCTTACTAAAGAAACTGGAGGTTGGACCAGGAGGGCGGGGGACGGAGGCGGGTCATGGGCTGTGGGGGAAGGGTAGACGAGTGGCGGAAACTCTTAGACTCAGAGAAGCATCGAGAACCGGAAGGAGACCATGAGAGGAAGGTAACAGAAGCGGCAGCTACGCGGTCGAGCCCCACGCCCCTCCCAACTGCGTCCCCTGGTTTCCTCACTTGGTATTGAGGAGGCGACTCTCGCGAGACCGTCGTGGCTGGCTAACCGGAGAGGCGGCTCTGCAATGACTTAAGGGCAGTTTTGTGCGCTCTTCTTGGTGGGGACCCGCCCCCAAGTCCACAAACTCTCGCGAGATGCAGGGAGGCACCGGCTCGAACTGGGGCGGGCCACCGCCGGGAAGCACCGCCCCTGAATGCTTCTGCTGGTGGGTGGAGGAGGAAATGGAATTCTCCCTACTGGTAAGTGCGCGCGCCGAGATAGCCCTCTCACGCGCCCAATCAGGAATGCGCGGTGGGAGGTACCACGGCTTCAGGACTAGATACCTTTAGTCGAGGCGGAGCAAGGTTCTTGAGGTTTCCGGTGGAGCAGGTGAACCGTATTTGCTTGCCTCCCCAGTACCTGGTTATCCGGCGGAGGCGGCGCTCCTCGAAATGCGTACGTACAGTAATTTGAAATGGACCCGGCCGGCCGCTGATAGGAGCTCCCACGTGCCGAAGCTGAGTGCTTTTCTGACCCTGAAGAATCGATACGGAGGAGAGCGGGCCTTTAGATTGAATTCCAGAGTTAGAGCAGCCTCTGAACCAAGCTTGACTGTGAATTGATGAGGACAGGAGGCCTGGGGAGGGGAACTGTCCACCCGTCTCTGTGGTCAACGCCACCGTCCGCCGGGGTTTAGGCGTGGGAACAGGGTTCACATTATCTCTTTCCTCCCGTTGGCTCAGTTTTTGAGTCAGAAAGGTGAAACCCAATGAAGACATCATGCAGAGTTTAGGGTCAGGAAAACTCAGTACAGTACTTCCTGAAATATCCAAGATATGATTGGCTAGTTTTCATAGGAGCCGTAAAGTATGGGGAGATGATTTCGCTCTCAGTGTATCCTTCAGGCAAAAGTAGTAAGATCTTAGTTTTTAAAAGGAATTTAAAGGCGGGTAAGCGCTGACTCGCTTAAGGTTTTTTAGCATTCCTTAACTTACAGAAGTTGGAGGTCTTTAAGAATTACTTGGAAACGTGAACTTGTTTTAAAAATATACTTTGGCCGGGCTCGGTGCCTCAGCTTGTAATCCCAGCACTTTGGTAGGCCGAGGGGAGTGGATTACCTGAGGCTGGGGGTTCGAGACTAGCCCGGGCAACTTGGAGAGCCCTCGTCTCCACAATCAAAAATTAGCCAGGCGCGGTAGCGCATGCATGTAGTTCTAGCTACTTAGAAAGCTGAGGCGGAAGGATCCCCGGAGCCCAGCAAGTCGAGGCTTGGGTGGCTTGGGTGTCCATGAGTGTGTCACTGCTCTCCAGCCTGGGCAACGGAGTGAGACTCCCAACTCAATAAATAAATAAAATATATTTTAAAAATATGTATGTGTGTATGTATGTGTATATATACACATACATATTTTTAAAAATTCTTGCAGATAGCGTTACCTAATAAAAACGTCACAGATCAGCGATAAATGGTCTAATGTCTACAGTTCGAGTGACCATATACTGCCACTAGAGCAGTTAGGTAAACTGTGCTTCTAAAACTAGTGTCTATAGGAACTACCTGCGGTTTTGGTCAACATGTGATTCTGTTCAGTAGTAGGCCTGGGATGGAGCCTGAGAATCTACATTTCCAGCAAGCTCTCAGGTGATACAGATTTTTCTGACGTGAACTACACTTTGAGGAGCAAAGCACGTACTGAGGTGCTCACTTCATGACCTGGTGGACACCTCTGCTGCCTTCCTCCTCCCTGAATAACATTTCCTGTGTTCTCTGTTCTAGTTAGCCAAATTTGATAGAGTAATAGGATTAGGCATGAGGGTAAAAGGGGAAACCCGGTTTGAGTTCTTGCCTACTACTGCCCATTTTTGTGACAATTGGTTTGGTTATTGCCTTCTTAGTCTTTCTTCATTACTAAACTGTAATAATAACTGTTCTTTCTCACAGTTCAAATGCCATGATGTATGTTAAAGCACGTTTTAGACTCTACAGTGCTGTATAAATGTAAGTTATTAAAGTAACCAGTCAGACATTAACTGGCCATAGTGTGAAAAAAAGGTATAGTAATAATAAATATAGATAGTGTTTGTGGATTGTGTCATGTATCAGATACCATACTTATTAGTTCCCTTTTACACATGAAGAAACTGTGGCACAAGTTAACTTACTATCCTAAGGACACGCCTCTACAAAGTGGTAGAAGTAGAATTTGAGCCCATGCAGTTATCTTCAGTGTTTTAACTGAATGGAGTTTCATTTTTATCTCTTAATTTAGAAAGAGTAGGATGTTTAATTCTTCTTTATTTTTATTTTTGAAGTTGACTTTTTTAAATTTCAGTAATTTAAGGGGATACAAATAATTCTTGGTAAATTCTACTTTAAATGCCATCTGAATCTAATTTTATTTTACTTATTTTTCCCTCTCTTTGTTTTGTTCTTTCAGAAGCCAAGGAACAAGGATGGTAGGAAACATTCCTACATACCCAAAGGGGGATCTCAAAATATCCAGGGAGGCTCATGAAGAAAAGCCCCAGAGAAGCCAATTTGTATTACCCTTATCTAAATAAGCTTCTGTATGAAAGTATATTGGAATATTAATGCTGTGGATTAACAGAGCATAGTAGACTGGGACAAATTTGAGGACAGAGTTCTTAAATTTTTGTGCCACAAACCACTTTTGCAGTCAGGTAATGCCATAGACCCTTTTCAGAATAATATTTTATATGTGTAAAATGGAATTCATTGCATTATAAAACATTTGAAATGCAGTTATCAAAATATTAAGAAAAAATAAATTTGTGACAGGTATATATGAGGGACCCGCCCCCCAAAAAAACTGGAATTGTAGTACAGGCTTCCCCTGCCAGGTAAGTGTTCTAGCAACCCATTGGCATCAGTGTACCAGCTAGCATTGTTGTGAAATGCTGCATTTGGCCTCAGTGAATTTTCTTTTGGAGATTCTTTCAACGTGTTTGCCCATTTTATGAAGGGTGATTTACAAGCACATCTGTGCACACTGCGCTGAGTGTTCAGCTTTTTTTGACCGAAAACAGCATGACCCCAGTGCCCCGCTCTCCTTGTTTACCCAATGTTGCTCAGAATCACTTTTTTGTTTGTTTATTTCCGTGAATGAAAAAAGTTCTCAGAGAGAAATGTTTTGCTGATGTGGAAGAGGTAAAACAAAAAAATGGCAGAAGCACTACAAGCCATCAAAATTGATGAGTTCAAAAACTTTTTGAGCAATGGAAAAAGCATCTTGATAGGTGTATTACATCAAATGGAGAGTGTTTTGAAAATGGCTAAAGTTTAAACATGTAAGAATAAATACACAATTTTTAATTTAAAAACTCGGGGGGGGGGTTGGGTCCCCCCATTATATATGCTTTAACACAGTAAGATCTGGTGGTAGGTTGAATTACAACCAAAATTTTGAAATAATGATGAATATCAGTGATATTTCCAGAGTTTGTAGCAACTGTAATGTGATACAAAGAATCTGTGCTTTCTTTTGGCAATGCAGAGGTAGGTACAGCTAATACTGTTTGTTGCATACATTTATAATTGAAGGAATGCTCATTTTTAGTAAGAAATTAGTAAAAAAAAAAAAAGATGTAATAGTGGTTCATCAAGAAAAAGTTTAATTACAACCACTATACTCTCCTTATGAAGGCAGGGAAGTGTGTAATAGGTTTAGGAAATAGTTTTATACCATTAGTTGATTTTTCTTTTTCTTTCTGTGAGTACCTATAAAGGTACCCCATGGAAAATTTAATTATCCAGAGTGATTCACTTCCCAAGTACTCTGGATAACTTAGGTTTTATTTTGTCACACTTATTACATGCCTTGTAAATGAAATGTGTTGGAAGAATTACAAAATGAAAATAATCAAGTATGAAATAAATTAAGATATATATTTAAATTTTTTAATAGACCGGGCTCGGTGGCTCAGCCTGTAATCCCAGCACTTTGGGAGGCCGAGGCGAGTGGATTGCCTAAGCCCATGGATTTGAGACCAACCAGGGCATCTTGGTGAGACCTTGTCTCTACAAAAAAAAAAAAAAAAAAATTCAAAATTAGCCAGACGTGGTAGAGCATGCCTGTAGTTGTAGCTACTTGGAAGTCTGAGGTGGAAGGATCGCCAGAACCCAGCAGGACGATGCTGGGGTGGCTGTGAGTGTGCCACTGCACTCCAGCCTGGGCGACAGAGTGAGACTCCAACTAAAATTTTTAAAAAAAGGTTTTTAAATAGATTTGAATAATTATTATTTGGAGTACTTGTTATATGCTGTGTCCTTCAATTCATTATCTTGTAAACTCCCCATTATACAGCTGAAAACACTAAAGGTTATATAGTTAATAAGAAGATCTAGGATTTAAACCTAGACAGTCTAACCTTAAAGTACACACTCTTGACCACTAAGCTGTTTGATTATTAGTCTTTCAACTGTTAACCAATATTAATTTTCCTGTTAGTGCAACACATATTTGCTACCTCAAAATGTTAATGTGCTTTTAGTAGTCCAAGTAAAATTTTACTTAGCGACTAAAAGGAATTTTCTAAATTCTTTACAGTGATATTGGTTATATTCAATACCACCTTTAAATAAGTGGGCCACCAATTGGGGCTAAAAAAGTTTCATTTTACAGAAATTTTTGTTGTAATGGACTTTTGCTTCAAAAACAAAATTTACCCATGCCTTTTTCTGCTCTCCAAACATACTTTCACACCTGAAATCTAAACCTTTTAAAAAATATTGACCACTGTTGTTGCCAATAGCAAGTTCTGCCTCTTGTCACTTGCAGGACAAAATGAACAAGCTTAAGATGGAAGGAGAATGACTCTATTCCAAGAGCCCATAGATGGGGAAATGGCCAGGCTCATGCCTCAAAACAAAATTTTAGGCTGAGAGTAGGGCATTTTAAAGGGAAAGAATGGAATGAGGAGTATCTGGGAGCGGCACAGGGAGCAGATCTTGCTATGATGGTTATCTTGAATTGTTGGCTAGTACTGTCTCAATTGTAGCCAGGTAGTAGATAGATAACCT